AACTGGGAATCACTCAACGTTCAAAGAGTCCCTGGTCGTCTCCGCTCCACTTGGTACCGAAAAAGTCAGGCGAATGTCGACCTTGTGGAGATTATAGACAATTGAACGCACGAACAACTCCAGATCGATATCCCGTTCGCGTTCTAGAGGACTTCAGTGCTAATCTCGCTGGGAAAACAATCTTCTCGACGATCGACCTCGTACGCGCCTTTAATCAAATACCTGTGGCCATCGACGACGTAAACAAAACAGCTACCATCACACCATTCGGCCTTTTCGAATTCCCGTTCATGACGTTCGGGCTTCGAAATGCCGCAAAAATATTTCAACGGCTTATCGACGAGGTCACACGAGGCTTGGAGGATTTCACCTTTCCGTATATCGATGACATCCTCATCGCTTCCAAGGACATCGAGGAACATCGCAGACACCTCCACACGCTCTGTGAACGGCTCTCGAGGTACGGTGTTGTAATTAACACTGCCAAGTGTCGTTTCGGCCAACCGGAGGTAGACTTCCTCGGCCATCGTACTCGGCGTAGGGTATCTTACCGCTCCCGTCGAAGGTAGAGGCAATCGTCAATTTCCATTCGCAATATCCATTCGCAAATTGCGTGAGTTCCTAGGAATGATCAATTTTTATCGCAAATTTCTTAAAGATGCTGCAAGATCTCAGGCTCCTCTCCATGAATACACTCAGAGTGCTAATCTCAAAGGCTCTCACCCCGTGGCCTGGACACTTGAGGGCGATACCGCTTTCACCGCCTGCAAGGAGGAGCTGCGAAAAGCAACGTTACTGGTCTACCTGGACACGACACTCCCGTGAGCCATCTTCACCGATGCTTCCGAATACGCCATCGGTGCAGCCCTGCAGCAACGACGAGTACAGCACTGGGAACCACTGGCATTTTTCAGCCAGAAACTACAACCTGCGCTGAGGAAATACTGCCCTTACGATCGAGAGCTCCACGCCATCTACGCTGCCGTGTGAAAGTTCCGCTACATTTTCGAGGCGAGGCACGTCACGATCTTCACAGATCATAAGCCGTTGCTTCACGCCTTCGCCCAGGATCCCGACAGAGCTACGCCGTAGCAGTTCCACCGCCTGGATTTTATCGGCCAGTTTTCAACCGACATTCAGTAAGTGGCCGGCAAGGACAACGTTGTCGCCGATGCGCTTTCTCGTATCGAGGCAATCTCTAATGCCGTCTCTACGAATGAGCTTGCCGAAGCTCAAGCCGCTGACGAGGAGCTCCAGCAACGTCTCCAGGGTCAACATCACGACGCTCTCGCCCTACGACCTGTCAAAGTTCCAAACTGTGCCACGCCTATCTGTTGCGACGTGTCTGGCGATCTGATTCACCCTTTCGTTCCTGTGCCATTGAGAAGAAGAATTTTCGACGTGCTCCATAGCGTTAGCCATCCTGGGGCACGAGCCTCAACGAAGCTGGTAACGCAGCTCTATGTCTGGCCCGACATCAATCGAGACTGCCGTTTATGGGCCCGCGTGCATCGCTTGCCAACGAAATAAGGTATCTCGCCATGTCTCATCTCCTATTGAAGATTTTCCAGGACGCACGCAGCGCTTCGAGCACAGACACGTGGACATCATCGGACCGTACATTCCGTCCAGAGGATATCGCAACTGCCTGACGATCATAGACCGTTTCACCAGGTTCCCAGAGGCGTTCCCCATCGAGAACACTGGAGCCGAGTATGTCGCCCGAACGCTCTTTTCTGGATGGATCTGCCGCTACGGAGTGCCGCTTCGAATCACAACCGACCAGGGGACACAGTTTGAGAGCCAGCTGTTCAACGCTCACGCTCGTCTTCTCGGTAGCAGACATATTCACACCACCACGTTCCATCCTCAGTCAAATGGAATGGTAGAACGTCTGCATCGTCATCTGAAGGACGCCATTCGCTGTCATGAAAGCGATTCGTGGGTGGACATGCTGCCTATCGTCCTTCTCGGAATTCGCGCCGCCTGAAAAGAAGACCTCAGCGCAACTCCGGCCGACCTCGTCTTCGGTGAACCGCTCCGACTACCGAAGGAATTTCTTACTCCCTCCTCACCACGCGGGCTACCGCCTACCAATATCGCCGGTCGTCTGAGGAATCACTTCGTCATCTTATCGCCCATCTGACACCCACCCATTCATCGACGTCATCAATTCAAAATCGCATCAGATTCGCTAAACGACATCAGCTGTTCTCGACAAATCGATATTATTGATTTTCTTTTGACTTTATTTTGCTTTCTGGTCTTTTTCCGCAGAAGGGGAGTACTTGTGGCGCGAGCCACAATAGATTAATTTCTTGAATTTATTTCGTAGCGTCTCGAATATTTCAAACGTCGGAATTCGAGACAAACTTCATTCTGTCCTTGTCCCTCACGAAATTTCAGGACAATTCTCGAACCTTCGATAAATGAAGGTATATAAACTCGTACGCTCGCCGGCAGATTAAGTCAGTCTACTTTTGAGTACGCATGTAAACACTTGCCTTTAAATATACAGTTCTTGTCAACACCGAGTTATTATTTTTCATACCCACACCAAACCGCCACAGAGAAATGGCAAATTTTCACGAAAATTAGGCGGGGGGAATAAGGGGAGAGGGTATGCATTGAGAATTCACAACCAAAAAAATTGAGTCGGTGAGTTTTTCGAAAATATCTCTAAAACTAAGGGAGATAGTGAATTTTTACTGCAAAATAGGGAAAAAAATTTATCCAAAAATTAGGAGGGAGGACGTGTGCTATATATTGAGAATTCAATACAGCTGGCCTCCCCCTTCCACCCCCCTAATTTTTGAATAAAAATTCGCTATCTCCTCAAGTTTCGGAGATATTTTTGAAAAAATGATTGACTCAATTTTTTTGGTTGTGAATTCTCAATGCACACCCCCCTTTCCCCCCCAAATTTTTGTAAAAAATCGCTATCTCCCTTAGTTTCCGAGATATTTTTGAAAAAATCACCGACTCAATTTTTTGGTTGTGAATTCTCGATACACATCCCCCCCTGCCTCCCAAGTTTTCATAAAAAATCGCCATCGCCGTTAGTTTTGGAGATATTTTTGAAAAAACAGACAGAATTTTTTCAATTGCGAATTCTCAATACACACTCCCTGCTCACCCCCACCCCCCAAATTTTCGTAAAAATTCGCTATCTTCCTTAGTTTCGGAGATATTGTTGGATAACTTCAACGATAACCCACCCTTTGATAAAACACCCCTCTTTACAAAACCCCCCACTTTACAACCCCCCCCCCCGCCGGATATTACAACCCCCGTTTTACAAAATGCCCCCTCAAACATTCATAAAAATTTCTAGATTTTAGAAAATATTTTTTCTTCTAAAATCAAGTATATTTTGGTTTAAAATTAATCCCAAGTCTGATCATTAATTTTAAACGATTTTCTTCTAAAACTTTTTTCTAAAGATAATCCACTTTTTTTCTTTGTGCATCTGTAATTTTTCTCATATTCTACAACGGTATTTACATATATTTGTGAAGGAATTAATACAATTATTAAATTATTGCACAGACCGGCAGTGGAATTCTCAGTACGATGAATTTCATAATGCCAATAATTTGTTTTACCACGCGAGTGACTACTACCGCCAACACCGGAACTAATGGGAACTACTTACTGTTTCACATGAATTCTACGGGGTTATTCTCAATAAAAAGCCGCTTTTTCCACCGCTTTTTCGAAGCTGCGATTTTCTGCCGCGAGGGGGCGACACGATACTAAATCACACGAAGTAATGACTTTGCGAACGCATTATGCGTAAATGCCCCTCCATCTGTAATTTTTAATTTTGGAGCAGCTATAATTTATATTGGAGTAAAGTGTTAATAATTCACTTCAATACATGTTACAAATGAGATAAATACTTGACCGATCAATTAGTGCATAGAATTGACTGCCTATCGACCACTGAGAGTAGATATTGATGCTGATAAATATCTCGGCTTCGATTTTTTATGTCGGAGCGAAAGTGGAATTTCACACAGCCATCGTATAAAATCCTTGCTAACGCTGTTATTATTTTCATTAGTAAAATCCAACAAATAAATCCTGTGAACCAATTGAACCTGTAGTATTTATTGAACACCGAGTCCGGCAAATCCTACAGTGGATTTGAGGTACGTCTAATTGCCCTACTTCGCGTATTTAATAATCTATGTAAGCCCCAATAATCTATATATTAATTCGTGTCATTTAGTATCGTGTCGCCCCTTCGCGGCAGAAAATCGCAGCTTTGAAAAAGCTGCGAAAAAAGCGGCTTTTTGTTGAGAATAGCCCGCCACTATACAACGTAGAACACTGTTGGCAATTCCTGCATGCGAAAGTGAGAATTCGAGTTGCGCTGCCAACTCAGTGGCTTGAGTGTGACCGTTTTCGTTTAGAATATAATGGAAATGCAAAAAATGTGTATGCCAGTTGGTTACTATGTGCATATCTTCGTAAATATTGAACGGATTAAATTAATAATTGCATCAGTGGAAAGCGGATTAGTGATTTATATAGTGTAACTAAGGACAGTTTTCGTCTAAGTGGGCGCATTTTTCATTAATTGATGGAAAATCAGTTGAGGGTAGTGGAAGGGGAAGTTGTGTCGTGTACAATCGTCAAAATAAGTTCCACCAGTCCGCGAAGTTGGCTACGAAGCGCTCCTTCGTTTCAGTCCCATACTCCAAACAGTAGCTAACTTCACGGAATGGCGGAATTTATTTTGACGATTGTATAGATACTTGGTAGCTTTCGTCGGTTTGTTGTTGTGAGGTTATGGGGCGCGACTTGGCCCGATACGCTACCGCGTATCTCGATGCATTGTCTCAATTGAAAAATGAGAACATTCATCTATGATACTAGATGATAACGTGGAAAAAATTTTCTACATTTTCTATCACCGTTCTGAGTAATGGAATTTTGTTTTCTAATTCCCAGTTGTCAATATGCAATGAGTAATGTTCGAATTATTTATATAGGTTTCACCTTCTCATTTCCGATGATTCAGCACTCATTAGATGTTGGTATCCTCGTGACTTGGACCAAGAGTTTCAATTGCCCTGATGTTGTTGGTAAAGACTGCGTGGCATTACTGGAAGAGGCACTGGAGAGACGTGGAGATACTAGAGTTAAAGTTGTGGCTGTATTGAATGATACTACTGGAACTTTACTTCAGGGAGCCACCCAAGATCCTTGTACTGCAATCGGACTCATCCTTGGTACAGGCAGCAACGCCTGCTATCTCGAACGAGCTGATAAAGTCGAGCACTGGGAACCTGAACGACATGGAGAACGTGAGGTAATTAGTTTTGAAGTCTCAATCCATTTGTTTCGTAATGAAATTGCTACCTGGGATGTGAATTTTAGAACATATTAGAAGATATAGTTCTAAAAGACGAAAGCATTCTACATTAAGGTGGGCTTTTCATTATTTTCGGAAAATCAGGTCGGTAGGAATATTTCCGCGCTGTTGACCCAGGAAAAATCCAAAGTACTTTTTAGCGTACTCTATCGCTCATATGTTGGGCGCCAGCCAAACCTTTGCGGAAGATTCGACGAAAACCAGCCTCTGAAACAATCTCGTACACTCAGAGGACTTTTGTAGATGGATAATGGATTGCCCAGCCAACCTCAGCGTTCCACGGTAGAGTGAGCGAAATCCACCGGGAGAATTTTCATCACAACCTCACGAGCCTTTTCAAGCCATGAATTATGCCTTGTGGCATAATTATCTTAGTGAATCTAATTCACATACGTCCTAGAGGATCTTTTGACTCTTCCAGCATTTTTTCTCCTCCCGAGTATTTCGACTCGAGAGAGTTTCAGGGTTATTTGGGAATCAGCCGGGACTCCTCAGAACCTGGAACGTTGAGAGGCTAACCCGACCAAAGTGAAACTACGTTACCGACCTTACGACCACCCACACTCTCAACCACCAGTTACCGCTTCGGTCATCGCGAGTCACCGCCTTCGGGTAGTACAAAAAGGTCCGCGCATGTTCGGGCCGACAAGAGGATTACTCTAATCCAGGCCCACGGGCCCATACGCCTCCGAATCGTTTCGCCGAGACTGGGTAACGTCGGAAACGACAAAGACGTCACTTGGTGTTCCGAAATAACTCCCTTTTTCTGGTGGGGGATTCAGGAGCATCCCCCTATGCTCGCCGCCAACGGTTATTCACCGAGGCTACGTGGAATCCAAAACTCCTTATCATGGCTTCTCCAGTCATTCCCCACCCCAGCTCCTCGTGAGGTATTTTTCGACTTCTTAATTCAAGTGCTCGACTTTGAATCACCCCGAATTTTACTAAGGCTTTCTCCCCCTAGTCTGGATATCTCAGCGATGATAGGTTATTCCGTTACCCTATCCCCACCAATCAACCCGACGGGATCCGGGCGGTACCAGGCCTCTCACGTGGCCATTGGTCCCTAGTCTAGCCCGACATAGCCCTTAGAATCGTCAAGTTGGACGGCCTGTATGTCGGCCCATTTCCCCTAACACAAGCTGGGCGAATTCTAAAATAGCGAAAGTCTAGTAACGTCCTCCAGACTTCCCGGGGTGGCGGTTCCACCCAAAATCCCTATGTCTTCAGCCTTTCACTGGCCTGTGGCTGTTCTCATCCAGTACCGGCTCTTTCAGCCGCCTCTAAATATCTCTTCTTGTCTCTTTTATAATAATTTCAAGTGTCTATATATCAACTTCAGGGGATTTCCACCCGCAACGAGAAAATATCGTTCCACGTGCTACTGACCTAATGAGATAATTCTATGAATAGGGTTCTGAATTCATTACTTATTAGAAAAAAAATGTCAATTATTTCTAATAATTTTTGAAAATTAATTTTAGGTGATTATTGATATTGAGTGGGGAGCATTTGGAGATAATGGAGTCTTAGATTTTATAAAAACTGATTTTGATCGGCAAAATGATGCTAACTCACTACTCGTTAGTTCATTTACGTGAGTATACTCCGTAATTAGTTTCCTTTTCCAATGAGAAAAATATTCGACGTTTTCTAATCTATTCTTTCATCATTTTCAGATTTGAAAAATACATCAGTGGAAAATACTTAGGTGAAGTTGTTCGGTGTATTCTAGTAAACTTATCAACAGATGGTCTGTTGTTTACTCGAGAAACTCCTGAATCTCTCCTCATCCCTGGAAGTTTCTTGACAGATTACATTTCTTTAATTGAACAGTAAATATTTTGGAAATATTCTAATGATTTTATTTTATAAGGTAGAATGTGGGTAACCGGAAATTTTGAAGTGCAAAATTTCCTACAGATTATTTATCACTAGTGCCGTCGCGGGTGGAAGCAGCCGCGCCATTGATGTTATTGTGGGGATATTTTCCGCCTAGATATTTTCTTTCCGAGTGGGCGGGTAACTTACCCGTGGACTTTTATAGTACTCTGCCCTGCAAGTATGAAGTGTTTTAACCAATTTGTTAAACACAGATTCATATTACACAAATAGTTATTTGCATTTCATCGATTCTTCAATAGTTCACCATCGAGATACGCGGTAGCGTATCGGTCAAGAAGTGTTACCTCCGACTGTACAAAACATCCGGCTGAGTGCAACGCGTATCTTTATCAAAATGAAAATCTAATCGATAATTGTCAAAAACTGATAAAACCTAGAAAACGAAATATGAGACGTAGACACCTGAGGTAATAGTTGAAATTCCAGCATGTATAGGATAAGCACTTGTAAATGATATAAATCCCAGTACATACAAAATTCATGGTTATCAACAAACTTCAGTTAGTCATCTCTTACGTATTTAAAACGGAATGAATAAATAAATACATAAATAAATTATATACAATAAATCACAAAATTCACATATTCTCATCAAGTGTCATTAAAAATACTAAGAAAGGCTGTGTCTCAACCATTGCCAGAACCCTCAATTCTATCCTTATTGTGAACAGTGTCCGAATCCCATGTTGTATTCACCCACGAAAATCAGTTCAGTTCAATGCATTTTCCTACATCACTAACCAATTCTATCGTAAAATCATTCTCAACCACTAGTTTACATTTACTTAAAATTAGACAACGGGTCATGTGTGTTACCCTAATTTTTTATAATCGTCAATGAAATTTACCATCCTATCACTTTTTTTTTATATGATACATTTCAAGAATATTTAACAGTTGGCGAGGATCGGTTCTACCTAATATTTTTGAATGCCTAAAATCAAAACTATGTCTTAGTTCATCAATAAAACTGGAGGTATTACGAACCAAATTTGGAGAGAGAATTTCCGTAGTTCCCGGGAGCTTAGTTGGGAGAGTGCCCGGAGATCCAGGTTCGATACTCGGCTGGGCGTTACGGGTTTTTTTCTCTTCAAATTCTAATTACTTTTAGATTTTCTTTCCAGTCATATCTAGTTTACTCCGGTTATGTTGACAAACTAGAGCACAGTTTTGATTTTGAGCATTCAGAAATTTCAAAAATATCAGATACGATAAATTAGATTAATGATTGTAAAGAAAAAGGTAACACATATGATCAGCTGATTAATTTTGAGGAATTTTACACTAGGGGTTAATAATAATTTTACGATAGAAATGATTCATGATATAGTGATATGCATTGAATTGAATAGATTTTCGCGAGTGCACACAACATGGGATTAGGACTGTGTTCACAACATGGTTAGGACTGAAGGTTTCGACAATGGTTGAAAAGCAGCCTTTCTTAGTATTTGTAATGACAGTTGACGAGAATATGTAAATTTTGTGATTAATCGCATTTATTTTATTTATTCATTTCCTCTACTTTTAAAGAGTAAGAAATAAATAAATGAGGTTGAATGATCATTATGAATTCGGTATGCACTATGATTTATATAATTTGCAAGTGCTGATTATATACAAACTGGTGTTTCAACTATTACTAGAGGTGTCTGTGTCTCGTGTTTTGTTTTTATTGCCATTTTCGAGATAAGTAATATGATTCCCTAATGAGGGGAACATTTAGTTCTCCAAACGTTGGCGATTGGAAAAATAAAGGTTTATCTTCGTTTTTCACCAATATTATATTCATATTGCTGATAAGGATCGCATAATTCCTGAGTGGAGGAGGAGATGTATTGATAATAAATGGAGCGGGTGGAATTTATTCGATTTTAATGTTCAGTCTTGCGAATAAACAAATGAGTTGAATTGAAAATAACAACTTTCGCATGATATAAAAACAATTGTGTGCTTGTTTTTGAAAATATAAGTGGAACTCCCTCAAAAACGAAAAGGAATGTTTTTGTAAAACAAGTAGGCGACTGCAGCCATACGGCTATACATATTCTACTGAGTAGGGCGTCTATTGTTTTCTCGCCATCAATATATTGATTGCGGGCTTCCGAATGCGGACATGAATGAAGTAAGCTCTAATCTAGTTGAACTTAAATAAAACGAAATAGTACGATTGTGAGATTGGGATACTCGTTATTGAGATATTGAAGAAATGAAGTTCACATACAAAGTTGAATATCTTCGAACCAAATAATCCGCGTGAGTCCATCTTTAATACGAACTGTTGCAATATTAAGCCGGAGCTTCATGCCAAATTTCAAGTCGATACCTCGATTTTTACTCAAGTTAGAGCGCGAACAAGGATTTCAAGTCAAAAACAGAAAAATCTAAATATCTCAAAAACTTTGTGTGAACGGGTACATATGTTTTGATTGATTTAGATAGAGGACACCATGCCGAATATTTTGAGAAAAAATTATTGAAATCGGTTGGGTATTTTCCGAGATATTTGCGAGAAAATGTTAAAAAAAACGAATGGCTATTGCTCAAAAACTAATAGACGGATCAAGCTGAAGTTTGGCATGGAGTTAGTCTCAAGTTATACCAATTGACTGAAAAAATTTCAAACTTTTTGGAATGATTTTTTTCGTTCAATTATCAAATTTACGAAAAAATGACCACCGACTGGACAGTCCCACACAGACATGGTCCCCAAACTTCGTATTTTTACGTTTCAGACCATTCTGCATCATTTCCAAGCAAAATTAGAAAATGTAAAAATTGGACGATTGTAATACTTCCATTCGGAAGCAAAAACTGAGCCGAGAAAAAGTTTTATTTGGTTTTGAAGGGAAAGTTAAAATTTTTTAAAAATACAAAAAAAATGAAAAAGAAAGTAAAAAATAAATCTCAATGGAAAAAACGGATTTTGAAAAATATTTTCCGTAAAATGAAAAATTAGTACGAGTGGAACCAAAGTTCTTGGCGCGGAGTTGTTCTACGCGCTGTGTATATCAAGCTAATCTCAACTTGATATACACAGCGATTTGTTATGCCATTGTTCTCATGGAGTCATTAATGGAAGCATCTACTGCTACGCGCCACGGTACGTTGGTCTTGCTCCTACTGATTTTCTATTGTTTGGATGTTTTTTTAAATCTTTTTTCTATTGAGAACTATCCTGCTTATAGTGATTTGATTCTGCATTACATCCATTTATTTGATATTCCTGATTTGGCTTTCTTTTTCATTTATTTGTACTGTTCAAAAATTACAATTTTCCTGTAAAAATCGAACACAACTCTTCTTGGCGCAGTTTTTTTTTTTTACAAAACCATATGTGTTTGTTTTTTTGGGTTAGATTAGTACATCACAAAACTTGGAATACGAGTAACTGCAATGTCAATTTGTCCAGCAACTCTCACTTGGTCAAATATCCGTGAGGTATTCACAATTTTGGGGGTAGAAAGGGTTCAACGGTGCGCTCGTCCTGATGTTTTGTACAGTCGGAGTCAAACCATCTCTTGGCCGATACGCTGCTACGTATCTTGATCGCAAGGATCAAACGGGAGAGATAAACGTGGTTATTTTTTTTACGTTCGTTGAGTCCTTTTTCGAGTCCCATTGGACACTTTAGCCAATCCTATATATGAGGCTATGGATTGTATACTGTAGTGCATTCGCACTCCCATAGACCACGAGTAGCATATCAAATTTCAAGAAACCCATGCCGGTATAGATGGTTACTCTATTAACGAAGGCTCGCTCGCCGGAGCATCAGGTTGAAAAATTCGGTTCCACTTGGGATCTCAACCTGTCACATACTAGTGTACGTCTAGAGCCCACTTGACAACCAACGCTGATAAACGTGGTTAATGCAATGGTCTAATGAAAGTGGTGAATAGAATAGTCGCAAGCGTCAAACAATAGAGTCGAGACGAACAATCTCAACGGTTTAATGAGCGCCATGAATAGTGTAACCGCAAGGATCAAACGGGAGAGACAAACATGGTTATCTCAATGACTCAACGGGAGTGATGAATAGAGTAATCGCAAGGTCGAACGGATGGGATGCACGCAGTTATCGCAAGGGTCTAATGTGAGCGATGAATCGAATAATCGCAAGGTCTAAACAAGAGAGAACATAGTTATCGCTAGGGTCTTATGGGTACGATGAATTGAGTAATCGCAAGATACAAACGGGAGTCTAAATAACATACAAACATCGTCTAATGGGAGCGATGTATAGAAGGAGGGACGAACGTAGTCGTCGCTCTTATTGGACTATTGCGATAACCTCGTTTGTTTCCCCCGTTGGGTTCTCGAGATTACTCTAATCATCACTCCCATTAAACCGTTGCCCCATGGACAAAATTTGATCCTGAATACGCTTCCGGAACGTTCCACAAGATCCTCAAAACGTCCCGAGTACGTACTGCAAAACGTGCCTGGAATCTCCTAAGTGGGCTATGGAATATGGTCACTACGTTCATCGTATGTTGTACCGGAAAAATTCAATAGGTTCGGATATGTTCCTGAACATTTCCGATATCTATTCAGGATCTCTCACTAAGAAAGTTTCATGTCACTGAGAGGAATAGGTTTGGATGGTGTTCCCAAAGTAAGGATCTGAAACGTCTTGTTGATAACATACCGAAATATATATGACTATATCCTCCATCAGAAAGTCGACCAATAGGATCATTGGGGAAATAACAGGGTATTATTGCGATAATTTTTGGTTACACCCCGCTACTCATAGTCACTAAGAAAATCTTCGCTAACAATTCTTTTGGTCGAAATTCTGAAGGAGGAAATAGCCCGACGAATACCACTCGAGCTTCACAATGATGGGTACTTCTCTCAAGCTTCCCTGCATAAAAATGCGCGTGTCAAGTTTTGCGTGAAAAATCCCTCCCGTAAGCGCTCGGGA